ATTTCGTTCAATTCATACAAGTTGTCCATTTGCAAACTTCTACTATTTAAATCACTTCTTAAAACCGATAACAAGTTCATTCTAGGTCTCCCCAATCTTCCAATGAATAACATGTACTATGTTATTGTAACTACGCTCTCAGGGTACCCACCTTATTTTAATAATGTACTGTGTTATTGTAACTACGCTCTCAGGGTACCCACCTCATTTTAATAATGTACTATGTTATTGTAACTACGCTCTCAGGGTACCCACCTTATTTTAATAATGTACTATGTTATTGTAACTACGCTCTCAGGGTACCCACCTTATTTTAATAATGTACTATGTTATTGTAACTACGCTCTCAGGGTACCCACCTTATTTTAATAATGTACTGTGTTATTGTAACTACGCTCTCAGGGTACCTACCTTATTTTAATAATGTACTATGTTATTGTAACTACGCTCTCAGGGTACCCGCCTTATTTTAATAATGTACTGTGTTATTGTAACTACGCTCTCAGGGTACCCACCTTATTTTAATAATGTACTGTGTTATTGTAACTACGCTCTCAGGGTACCCACCTTATTTTAATAATGTACTGTGTTATTGTTACTACGCTCTCAGGGTACCCACCTTATTTTAATAATGTACTGTGTTATTGTAACTACGCTCTCAGGGTACCCACCTTATTTTAATAATGTACTGTGTTATTGTAACTACGCTCTCAGGGTACCCACCTTATTTTAATAATGTACTGTGTTATTGTAACTACGCTCTCAGGGTACCCACCTTATTTTAATAATGTACTGTGTTATTGTAACTACGCTCTCAGGGTACCCACCTTATTTTAATAATGTACTGTGTTATTGTAACTACGCTCTCAGGGTACCCACCTTATTTTAATAATGTACTGTGTTATTGTAACTACGCTCTCAGGGTACCCGCCTTATTTTAATAATGTACTGTGTTATTGTAACTACGCTCTCAGGGTACCCACCTTATTTTAATAATGTACTGTGTTATTGTAACTACGCTCTCAGGGTACCCACCTTATTTTAATAATGTACTGTGTTATTGTAACTACGCTCTCAGGGTACCCACCTTATTTTAATAATGTACTGTGTTATTGTAACTACGCTCTCAGGGTACCCGCCTTATTTTAATAATGTACTGTGTTATTGTAACTACGCTCTCAGGGTACCCAACTTATTTTAATAATGTACTGTGTTATTGTAACTACGCTCTCAGGGTACCCACCTTATTTTAATAATGTACTATGTTATTGTAACTACGCTCTCAGGGTACCCACCTTATTTTAATAATGTACTGTGTTATTGTAACTACGCTCTCAGGGTACCCACCTTATTTTAATAATGTACTGTGTTATTGTAACTACGCTCTCAGGGTACCCACCTTATTTTAATAATGTACTGTGTTATTGTAACTACGCTCTCAGGGTACCCACCTTATTTTAATAATGTACTATGTAATTGTAACTACGCTCTCAGGGTACCCACCTTATTTTAATAATGTACTGTGTTATTGTAACTACGCTCTCAGGGTACCCACCTTATTTTAATAATGTACTGTGTTATTGTAACTACGCTCTCAGGGTACCCGCCTTATTTTAATAATGTACTGTGTTATTGTAACTACGCTCTCAGGGTACCCACCTTATTTTAATAATGTACTGTGTTATTGTAACTACGCTCTCAGGGTACCCACCTTATTTTAATAATGTACTATGTTATTGTAACTACGCTCTCAGGGTACCCACCTTATTTTAATAATGTACTGTGTTATTGTAACTACGCTCTCAGGGTACCCGCCTTATTTTAATAATGTACTGTGTTATTGTAACTACGCTCTCAGGGTACCCACCTTATTTTAATAATGTACTGTGTTATTGTAACTACGCTCTCAGGGTGATCACCTTATTTTAATAATGTACTGTGTTATTGTAACTACGCTCTCAGGGTACCCGCCTTATTTTAATAATGTACTGTGTTATTGTAACTACGCTCTCAGGGTACCCGCCTTATTTTAATAATGTACTGTGTTATTGTAACTACGCTCTCAGGGTACCCGCCTTATTTTAATAATGTACTGTGTTATTGTAACTACGCTCTCAGGGTACCCGCCTTATTTTAATAATGTACTGTGTTATTGTAACTACGCTCTCAGGGTACCCACCTTATTTTAATAATGTACTGTGTTATTGTAACTACGCTCTCAGGGTACCCACCTTATTTTAATAATGTATCATGTTATTGTAACTACGCTCTCAGGGTACCCGCCTTATTTTAATAATGTACTGTGTTATTGTAACTACGCTCTCAGGGTACCTACCTTATTTTAATAATGTACTATGTTATTGTAACTACGCTCTCAGGGTACCCGCCTTATTTTGATAATGTACTGTGTTATTGTAACTACGCTCTCAGGGTACCCACCTTATTTTAATAATGTACTGTGTTATTGTAACTACGCTCTCAGGGTACCCACCTTATTTTAATAATGTACTGTGTTATTGTAACTACGCTCTCAGGGTACCCACCTTATTTTAATAATGTACTATGTTATTGTAACTACGCTCTCAGGGTACCCACCTTATTTTAATAATGTACTATGTTATTGTAACTACGCTCTCAGGGTACCCACCTTATTTTAATAATGTACTGTGTTATTGTAACTACGCTCTCAGGGTACCCACCTTATTTTAATAATGTACTGTGTTATTGTAACTACGCTCTCAGGGTACCCACCTTATTTTAATAATGTACTGTGTTATTGTAACTACGCTCTCAGGGTACCCACCTTATTTTAATAATGTACTATGTTATTGTAACTACGCTCTCAGGGTACCCGCCTTATTTTAATAATGTACTGTGTTATTGTAACTACGCTCTCAGGGTACCCACCTTATTTTAATAATGTACTGTGTTATTGTAACTACGCTCTCAGGGTACCCACCTTATTTTAATAATGTACTGTGTTATTGTAACTACGCTCTCAGGGTACCTACCTTATTTTAATAATGTACTGTGTTATTGTAACTACGCTCTCAGGGTACCCACCTTATTTTAATAATGTACTATGTTATTGTAACTACGCTCTCAGGGTACCCACCTTATTTTAATAATGTACTATGTTATTGTAACTACGCTCTCAGGGTACCCACCTTATTTTAATAATGTACTATGTTATTGTAACTACGCTCTCAGGGTACCCACCTTATTTTAATAATGTACTGTGTTATTGTAACTACGCTCTCAGGGTACCCGCCTTATTTTAATAATGTACTATGTTATTGTAACTACGCTCTCAGGGTACCCGCCTTATTTTAATAATGTACTATGTTATTGTAACTACGCTCTCAGGGTACCCACCTTATTTTAATAATGTACTGTGTTATTGTAACTACGCTCTCAGGGTACCCACCTTATTTTAATAATGTACTGTGTTATTGTAACTACGCTCTCAGGGTACCCACCTTATTTTAATAATGTACTGTGTTATTGTAACTACGCTCTCAGGGTACCCACCTTATTTTAATAATGTACTGTGTTATTGTAACTACGCTCTCAGGGTACCCACCTTATTTTAATAATGTACTGTGTTATTGTAACTACGCTCTCAGGGTACCCACCTTAATTTAATAATGTACTGTGTTATTGTAACTACGCTCTCAGGGTACCCGCCTTATTTTAATAATGTACTGTGTTATTGTAACTACGCTCTCAGGGTACCCACCTTATTTTAATAATGTACTGTGTTATTGTAACTACGCTCTCAGGGTACCCACCTTATTTTAATAATGTACTGTGTTATTGTAACTACGCTCCCAGGGTACCCGCCTTATTTTAATAATGTACTGTGTTATTGTAACTACGCTCTCAGGGTACCCACCTTATTTTAATAATGTACTGTGTTATTGTAACTACGCTCTCAGGGTACCCACCTTATTTTAATAATGTACTGTGTTATTGTAACTACGCTCTCAGGGTACCCACCTTATTTTAATAATGTACTATGTTATTGTAACTACGCTCTCAGGGTACCCACCTTATTTTAATAATGTACTGTGTTATTGTAACTACGCTCTCAGGGTACCCACCTTATTTTAATAATGTACTATGTTATTGTAACTACGCTCTCAGGGTACCCACCTTATTTTAATAATGTATCATTTATTATATTATTATGTAATGATATTAGAAAGTTCATTTGTACGTATTTTTCAAAACATGGGGGGTGCAAACCCCAAAAACTCAAATTTCCATTTTGGGTTTGGGTTTTAATTGGGTTTTTTCCCTTTTTTTGTAACTAAATAATTTGTAACTAAAAATGCAAAAATACATAATACAATTTACAAATGAAACATATCATAATTGATAATGGGAGTGAAGGGGTATAACTTATAACTTAGTCTCAAATAAATGTAGAATGAAGGTGTAAGTATTATCAATTCTAACATAACACAATTCTTAAATAAACCCAAAAACCCCAATTTTATCTCAAATTCCCATTTGGGGTTGGTTCGGGGTTTTGTTTTTGGATTAAGCACCCCCAAACACATAGTATAGCTGTATAGGTTCATTAAATGAACGAAATGTTGATTTTACCATTATATTTACTATGTTGATAGTATAAATGTTACATTTAACGACTGAGGTCCCATGCGGTAATAATATATACTAGCATAGCTATATGCTAATAATATAGTATAACTAAAGTATAGTGCAGTTTATCCATTATTATACGGTACGATGATAACAAATATCAATAAGTGTAACTATACAATAGTGTAACAGCATAACAATACCGTTACAATACTATTAATGCTTTTCATTCATACAAAGTTAGAACAAATTCTTCTTGTAATGCATCCTGGGTTTGGACAGTATATGCCCGCTTAAAATATTTCCATCACGTTACATTACATAATTCTCAATAAATGTAATAGATTTGTAGTGTTGTAATTAGTTTACTATTACCACCTAATAACCACCAGGTTACTGACAACTCAGCAGGATTCTGTTCAGTAAGAGACCTGAAGATTTTGTCCAGTATAGTTATTCTACCTGCTACCTTCCTACAAACTGTTATCAAAGTGTATTGCTACCCTCTGAGCTGGTTTGTAAATTTCTCTTTCACTTTCACTTTCACTTTCACTTTCACTTTCACTTATCTTCTGCCTCACAAAGTCTTACCTGCTACATTCTTACAAACTTACGTACAGTTATCAGGGTCTACTTTATCTTTCACTTTAATTCCTCTTCCATAATATCTACTTAGTATGTATTATATAGTATACTATAGTATTATTATTATTATTACTTCCCTCAGGGTCTCCACAATGCAAGGTTTATTAGAGGTGCGACTAGAAGTGCCCCAGATCACGGTGATGCTGACAATGCCACAAGTTCACCTCTCCTATCACTTCCTATATTACTGGACTAACAAACTGTGTGGTGGAGTGTTGGAGGGGGAGTTGTTACACGGCACTGCACTCAGAACACTAGCCCAGCAAGCTCTAGATATAGGTTAGACACTGCACTCAGAACACTAGCCCAGCAAGCTCTAGATATAGGTTAGACACTGCACTCAGAACACTAGCCCAGCAAGCTCTAGATATAGGTTAGGGTTATGTCAGTTAAGAAAAAGTGATTAAGGGAGCAGGTTTTTTAAGAGGCTGTCAATTTTCAAATGAAATAAATTTAAACCGCGATTTTAAGGGAACCCTTAATAAAACAACCATTAATTTGATACTAATAATATGGTATTATTTAATTAGTTAATTAGTTAATAACACTATTATATCACAGAAGAGCAGTTGAGTGTAGAACTGTGTGTTTCGCACATTGGGATGAAGTATTGTCAAACTACGGTAGTTAACTCTGCTATGTTGACACTGCGCGGCGCTGAGCTCTTTCTCTACAAATCTAGTATGTTATTTATTATTATCTCCTGATAAATATACAGGGGCGCTGAGCTCTTTCTCTACAAATCTAGTAATTATTTATTATTATTATTATCTCCTGATAAATATACAGGGGGGGGGGGGGGGGCTAGTATGTTTAATTATTTATTATTATTATCTCCTGATAAATATACAGGGGGGGGGGGGGGGGGCTCTTTCTCTACAAATCTAGTATGTTTAATTATGTTATTATTATCTCCTGATAAATATACAGGGGGGGGGGGGCTCTTTCTCTACAAATCTAGTATGTTTAATAATTTATTATCTCCTGATAAATATACAGGGGGGGGGGGGGCTCTTTCTCTACAAATCTAGTATGTTAAATAATTTATTATCTCCTGATAAATATACAGGGGGGGGGGGGGGGGCTCTTTCTCTACAAATCTAGTATGTTAAATAATTTATTATCTCCTGATAAATATACAGGGGGGGGGGGCTCTTTCTCTACAAATCTAGTATGTTTAAATATTTATTATTATTATCTCCTGATAAATATACAGGGGGGGGGGCTCTTTCTCTACAAATCTAGTATGTTTAAATATTTATTAATATCTCCTGATAAATATACAGGGGGGGGGGGGGCTCTTTCTCTACAAATCTAGTATGTTTAATTATTTATTAATATCTCCTGATAAATATACAGCGGGGGGGGGGCTCTTTCTCTACAAATCTAGTATGTGTTATTATTTATTATCATTATCTCCTGATAAATATACAGGGGGGGGGGGGGGCTCTTTCTCTACAAATCTAGTATGTTTAATTATTTATTAATATCTCCTGATAAATATACAGGGGGGGGGGGGCTCTTTCTCTACAAATCTAGTATGTTTAATTATTTATTATTATTATCTCCTGATAAATATACAGGGGGGGGGGGCTCTTTCTCTACAAATCTAGTATGTTAAATAATTTATTATTATTATCTCCTGATAAATATACAGCGGGGGGGGGGGGGGGCTCTTTATCTACAAATTTAGTATGTTTAATTATTTATTATTATTATCTCCTGATAAATATACAGGGGGGGGGGGCCGGGGGGCAAAAGTTAGTGCGCAAAAGTTTGTCTTATACCTCCGCCGTGTTTTATATTTGAGAGTTGTTGCTTTGCTGTACCTACTTGTTCGAGGATTCCGTCGCCAAATTTGAAAATTCGAGTGTTTTAGACTACGCCCATTCAATATTAAAACACCTATCTTATTCTCTCTGAACATGGTGGACGCCTAATTTTTCAGAGACGGTAGATTATTAAATGTTGAATGGATTAGAAATGACGAAGTTATCAAACAAATTTCTCGAACCAGTGGTGGTAGTAAGTCATACCAGAACAAATTATTTCAATTGGGCACTCAGTGACTGAGCTATTAAGGCCAACGTTTGCACACTGACTTTTGGCCCACCCTGTATTTAGTATAGATTGATTTTTAATTGGCTTATATTTTGGTTAGCTGATCAGATTTATTTTATTCTCGCTATTTTTTATTTTATTAACAAATAACTGCTGTAAAATAATAGTGCAAAACATAAATTATTTAAATGTCAGAGACTACAACGAGAATGAACAATGGATATGAACTTTGTACTAAAGTACTAACTAAACTATAAAACTATGTGCTAACTAAATTATGTGCTAACAATTATTTCGTTACAGCGGATGAGGCGGTATGCATTTTATCTGGGCCCTACTTCACTAAAGATGTATACAGGTAATATAATCACTACTAAACTAATGATTAAATTTGAATTTACAAAATTTGGTTACAAAATTTAGTAACTGATGTTAATAAGTAAAGAATTATCAATTAGTAAGTAATCACCTACCTATGTCACCTAACTGTTCAGGTCGCTGGAGCAACCTTCTGATGTACACGTGGTACCCAGTTTATTGAGTGTTACTGTTCAGTGGCCTCACGTTCCCTTTACCACCAGTAAGTACACGTGGTACCCAGTTCTATAACTTTATCATAACCGTTCTAATATTTATCATATTACAAGAAGAATTGCACTTGTCTCGTAAATTTACGTTGGTAAAAAATCTGCGTGTTTTAAAGAGTTTCAATGATATTTTAGATCTTCCTTTATAAAATATATCCTTGTGTTTTACATTTTCCTTCATAAAATATATCCTTGTGTTTTACATTTTCCTTTATAAAATATATCCTTGTGTTTTACATTTTTCTTATAAAATATATGCTTGTGTTTTACATTTTCCCTTATAAAATATATCCTTGTGTTTTACATTTTCCTTTATAAAATATATCCTTGTGTTTTACATTTTCCCTTATAAAATATATGCTTGTGTTTTACATTTTCCCTTATAAAATATATCCTTGTGTTTTACATTTTCCTTTATAAAATATATCCTTGTGTTTTACATTTTCCCTTATAAAATATATCCTTGTGTTTTACATTTTCCCTTATAAAATATATCCTTGTGTTTTGCTCAGGTTCGACCCCATCAGACAGGCCAGTGTTAATAGTGCACAGTAGCGGTGTAGTGATATGTTGGGACAAAGCCCTTCCTGCTCTCCTTGCTTATCAGCCCCCTGTCAACTCTGGTACTTATGTGAGGTGAGCGGTTTTAGTAGTCACCACTACTCAACACTACGATAACATTATTAAGGGCCAGGGGGTGGTCTTCATGGAAATTGTCTCAAAATCGATTTTTTAGTTGTTTCTGATAGAGGGGGGTAATATCTATCAGATGCTTTTGATCCCGTGGAAAAATATCGTTCCTAGCCAAAATTATTGCCGGTCAAAGGTCAGCGCGTGTGTGTAATTGTATTGGGCCAGCGATTTTTGATCGCGTGCCCTGAAAATCTAGTCTAAAAATCTATCTTCTCCTACATTCTTTGAGCAATCACCCTGAAACTTTCAGGATATGTTCTAGGGATCATTTAGAAGAAATGAGCCCGACAGAATTTTGAGATAGGCCTTTAAATTTTTTTGTTCGATTTTGAAAATCGTGGACCTCGAAAAATCATCAAAAAACGAGGTCCAAGATTTTCAAAATCGAATGCAAAATCTTTAAAGTACTTTATTGAAATTAGTTTAGTTTAAACAGTAGCATCCTTAGTTGGTTACTAGTTGGTTACTAGTTGGTTACTGATACTCAATTATAAACCTCAGGTCTTGTTCACTAGAAAGTGTAGCTAGCTCTACACCCGCCTCTTCCACTGCTCCCTCTTCCACAGCACCCTCTTCCACAGGCCCCTCTCCTAACAACTTCACTACTCCTGCTTCCACACCATCAGGTTAATTAAACAGATTAGTTGCTCTAATTGTTGAGAGTTTGAGTATGTTTATAATGATACTGAGGACCAGAGGTACTACACCCCTGAGGACTGAGGTTACATGCTACATGCTCATTTTCTGAGGACTGAGGTGTATAATGACCACTCTTCCAGACAATAAAGTCCCCGACACACGGTACTCTCCTGATGACGACACAACACATGACGTCATACCGCGTGACGTCACAGCACATGACGTCATACCACGTGACGTGTCAGCTAGTGGCTCCTCGTCACGTGTCACTGACTCGGTGGAAAGCACTAGTTTGTGGCATGTAGTGGAGTATCTTGCTGTGCAGGTAAAATTAACCAGGTAACCAGGTAACCAGGTAACCAGGTAACCAGGTAACCAGGTAACTAGTTTGTGGCATGTAGTGGAGTATCTTGCTGTGCAGGTAAAATTAAAACATGCTTTATAATATAAAATAAGAAGGTAAGGATACTATAATATAGGAGTATATACCTCCAACTTTATGATAAAAGTTGTGTCTAAACTCTGATCCCCTCAACTTTATGATAAAAGTTGAGTCTAAACTCCTCTCTCTCCCCCCAGATGGTGGTGTCCCCAATAGTACTGCTAATAAGCTCAGCAGGGTGTGGTTCTCCTCAAGGGGACGTGTTAGAGTACTAACCTCCCCACTAACCTCCCCACTAACCTCCCCACTAACCTCCCCACTAACCTCCCCACTAACCTCCCCACTAACCTCCCCACTAACCTCCCCACTAACCTCCCCACTAACCTCCCCACTAACCTCCCCACTAACCTCCCCACTAACCTCCCAACTAACCTCCCCACTAACATCCCCACTAACCTCCCCTCCTCTCTCCAGATGGTGGTGTCCCCAATAGTACTGCTAGTAAGCTCAGCAGGGTGTGGCTCACCTCAAGGAGACGTGTTAGAGTACTAACCTCCCCACTAACCTCCCCACTAACCTCCCCACTAACCTCCCCACTAACCTCCCCACTAACCTCCCCACTAACCTCCCACTAACCTCCCCACTAACCTCCCCACTAACCTCCCCACTAACCTCCCCACTAACCTCCCCACTAACCTCCCCACTAACCTCCCAACTAACCTCCCCACTAACCTCCCCACTAACCTCCCCACTAACCTCCCCACTAACCTCCCCACTAACCTCCCCACTAACCTCCCCACTAACCTCCCAACTAACCTCCCCACTAACCTCCCCACTAACCTCCCCACTAACCTCCCCACTAACCTCCCCACTAACCTCCCCACTAACCTCCCCACTAACCTCCCCACTAACCTCCTCTCTCCTTCCAGATGGTGGTGTCCCCAATAGTAGTGCTAATAAGCTCAGCAGGGTGTGGTTCACCTCAAGGGGACGTGTTAGAGTACTAACCTCCCCACTAACCTCCCCACTAACCTCCCCACTAACCTCCCCACTAACCTCCCCCACTAACCTCCCCCACTAACCTCCCCACTAACCTCCCCACTAACCTCCCCACTAACCTCCCCACTAACCTCCCCACTAACCTCCCCACTAACCTCCCACTAACCTCCCCACTAACCTCCCACTAACCTCCCCACTAACCTCCCCACTAACCTCCCCACTAACCTCCCCACTAACCTCCCCACTAACCTCCCCACTAACCTCCCCACTAACCTCCCCACTAACCTCCCCACTAACCTCCCAACTAACCTCCCCACTAACATCCCACTAACCTCCCTCCTCTCTCCAGATGGTGGTGTCCCCAATAGTACTGCTAGTCAGCTCAGCAGGGTGTGGCTCACCTCAAGGGGACGTGTTAGAGTACGCGCAGAACAGCGCGGATCTGGACGCAGTGCTGATCTGCTTACCTGCTCTACTCGTTACTAACCAGACTACAACTTGTGGACTTATCAACCCTCAGGTGAGGAATAGTAACTTTATAGTGAGGAATAGTAACTTTATAGTGAGTTATAGTAACTCTATAGTGAGGAATAGTAACTCTATAGTGAGGAATAGTAACTTTATAGTGAGGAATAGTAACTTTATAGTGAGGAATAGTAACTCTGTAGTGAGTTATAGTAACTTTATAGTGAGTAATAGTAACTTCATAGTGAGTTAAAGTAACTCTCTAAAAGTCTGTAATATGCCTCTCTCCCCAGGAATTACCCCTATCAGTAACTACAACTGGTGGACTAGTGGGTAATCCTACTGATTATAAAACCCTTTCTCCCCAGGAATTACCCTATCAGTAAACTACAACAGGTGGACTAGTGGGTAATCCTCCCCTTACTGATTATAAAAACCCTATCTCCCCAGGAATTACCCCTATCAGTAACATACAACCGGTGGACTAGTAGGTAATCCTACTGATTATAAAACCCTTTTCTCCCCAGGAATTACCCCTATCAGTAACTACAACTGGTGGACTAGTAGGTAATCCTACTGATTATAAAACCCTTTCTCCCCAGGAATTACCCTATCAGTAACTACAACTGGTGGACTAGTAGGTAATCCTACTGACTATAAAACCCTCTCTCCCCAGGAATTACCCCTATCAGTAACTACAACAGGTGGACTAGTGGGTAATCCTACTGATTATAAAACCCTTCTCCCCAGGAATTACCCCCTATCAGTAACTACAACAGGTGGACTAGTAGGTAATCCTACTGATTTTAAAACCCTTTCTCCCCAGGAATTACCCCTATCAGTAACTACAACTGGTGACTAGTGGGTAATCCTACTGATTATAAAAACCCTTTCCTCCCAGGGAATTACCCCTATCAGTAACTACAACAGGTGGACTAGTAGGTAATCCTACTGATTATATAACCCTTTCTCCCCAGGAATTAACCCTATCAGTAACTACAACTGGTGGACTAGTAGGTAATCCTACTGATTATAAAACCCTTTCTCCCCAGGAATTACCCCTATCAGTAACTACAACTGGTGGACTAGTGGGTAATCCTACTGATTATAAAACCCTTTCTCCCCAGAATTTCCCCTATCAGTAACTACAACTGGTGGACTAGTAGGTAATCCTACTGATTATAAAACCCTTTCTCCCCAGGAATACCCCTATCAGTAACTACAACAGGTGGACTAGTAGGTAATCCTACTGATTATAAAACCCTTTCTCCCCAGGAAATTACCCCTATCAGTAACTACAACAGGTGGACTAGTAGGTAATCCTACTGATTATAAACCCTTTCTCCCAGGAATTACCCCTATCAGTAACTACAACTGGTGGACTAGTGGGTAATCCTACTGATTATAAAAACCCTTTCTCCCCAGGAATTACCCCTATCAGTAACTACAACTGGTGGACCTAGTAGGTAATCCTACTGATTATAAAACCCTTTCTCCCCAGGGAATTACCCCTATCAGTAACTACAACAGGTGGACTAGTAGGTAATCCTACTGATTATAAAAACTCTACCCTGGAAGATATCCCTCAGCAACTTGGCTGTACCACCGTCTCCACACTGTTCAACCGCTCCTTGCTCCTCTGTCTCTTGACGTGAGCTAATTAGCTAATTAGTTAATTAATCAATAAACCGATGGAAAATTTGCATATCGTACAGTTATTACTCGGTTTGGAGCGAATAAATAAAATGTTCAATCAAAAATCTGTCATTTTAACTTCAATTATACATCTTTATAAGGATGCTAATATTTCTAATATTGCTAATCAAGTAATTAACATTAAAATAACTTAATAATTAATTAAATTAACATTAAAATAATTAAGAGACATGTTTCTCAGGTGGTACTAGCTCTGGGCAGCAGAGGAAGTAATGACATTTGTTTACACGCTGACACCCATCCCATATCAGTAGCTGTACATCTGGATCAGGTATAGGTTCATATTATATAGGTTCATAATACAGTTCATATCTCTCCGAATTCCATCAACACAATTATTGTATTCATTAATCAATTACCCAGTCAACTAACCAATTAGTTTGCTAATTAACTAATTGATTAACACTGCAATTACCCAGTCAACTAACCAATTAGTTTGCTAATTAACTAATTGATTAACACTGCAATTACCCAGTCAACTAACCAATTAGTTTGCTAATTAACTAATTGATTAATCACCACTGCAATTACCCAGTCAACTAACCAATTAGTTTGCTAATTAACTAATTGATTACCACTGCAGATAAGACTAGTGTTACGTGTAGTGGCCTCCCTTACACGCTCGTTTAGTGTGGCTAGTAGTCTGGACACTCCTCTCACTCAAGTATCTACCACAGGTAACTAGTGCAGTGTATTGTGTGTAGTAACATGTGTGAAACATGTGTAGAAAACATGTTTTAAGTAACACGTGTAGAAAAACACGTGTAGTAAACAGGGGTTTTAGTAACATGTTTATTTAACATGTGTAGTAACTTTGGAAAGTAACATGTTTTGTAACATGTGTAGTAACATGAGTAGTAACATGTGTAGTAACATGTTGTAGTAACATGGTAGTACATGTGTAGTAACATGTGTTAGTAACATGTGTAGTAACATGTGTAGTAACTTGTGTATTAACACGTGTAGTAACATGTGTAGTAACATGTGTAGTAACATGTGTAGTAACATGTGTAGTAACATGTGTAGTAACATGTGTAGTAACATGTGTAGTAACATGTGTAGTAACATGTGTAGTAACATGTGTAGTATCATGTGTAGTAACATGTGTCGTGTAGTAACATGTGTAGTAACATGTGTAGTAACATGTGTAGTAGCTGTGATGTGAAATGTTAACGCTAGATAAACAACCCCTCTATTATATATTTTACGGTTTTTGCGGAATGTCGCGTTAAAGTTGATGCCGTGGTGTCAGTAAAATGGTACGGATAAACACATCCATCCATATATAATATCGTCTCGCTTTATTATATATATAAGTATATACTATATAGTACTAAGATTATATCCCCCTCCAGATATTAACACTGTAATATCCCCCTCAGGCTCTGAGATCTCCTCAATCCACACCTACCTACCAGATCTAGTGTACTATACTGATAGTGGTAGTGTTATACCAGACAATGAGGGGGACTCTAAACCTTTCCTTTACGTGTGGCTACAGTACGCTATACCAAAGGTAGGATGTCACCTGTTATTAGTACACCTCACTTATACCTCACTAAACCTCGCTTATACCTCACTTATACCTCACTTTATCTCGTGAAACCTCACTTATAGGGGTGTCACGTCCGTCTATGTCCGCTTGTCTCATAGAATCCAAAAAGGACAGGACATAGGCGGACATAGGCGGACATAGGCGGACATAGACGGACATAGGCGGACATAGACGGACATAGGCGGACATAGGCGGACATTAATGGACACCTAAATTGCTAAATAAAATGTTCAATTTTTGCTGTTATAGGGGATCATGTTTTTGTCCGTTCGGTACCCTATATTTTCAAAACGGACAAAAAATAGAGCGGACAAAAATGGACAATAACGGCCAAAAATGGAAATAACATTTAGATGCTTCATCCTCCTACTCTTCCTCCTCCTCCCCCTGGGTCTTCCTGATCTTCCTCAGTCCTCTTCCTCCTCCCCTCCTCAGTCCTCCTCCTACTCCTCCTCCTCGTCCTCAGTCCTCCTCATCAGTCGTCAACAGTCCTTCTCCTCCCCAGTCCTCCTCCTCCTCCTGAGTCTCCTCCTGGGTCCTCCTCCTGGGTCCTCCTCCTCCTCTTCATCCTCCTCCCTCTTCCTCCTCAGTCCTCAGTCTCCTCAGTCCTCCTCCTCATCCTTCTCCTCAGTCCTCCATCCTCCTCCTCCTATTCAGTCCTCATCCTCCTCCTCCCTCCTTCTCAGTCCTCTCAGTCCTCCTCCTCCTCCTCCGTCCCCTCCTCTCTTCCCAGTTCCCTCTCAGTCATCCTCCTCAGCCATCTCCTCAGTCCTCCTCAGTCCCTCCTCCTCAGTCCCTCCTCCTCCCTGGGTCCTCCTCCTCCTCTTCATCTTCCTCCTCGGTCACTCAGTCCTCCTCCTCCTGGGGTCCTCCTCCTCATCCTTCTCATCAGTCCTCCTCCTCCCCAGTCCTCTCCCAGTCCCCCTCTTCTCCTCCTCCTATTCAGTCCCTCCTCCTCCTCCCTCCTAAGTTCTCCTCAGTCTCCTTCTCATTTCTCCTAAGTCCTCCTCTGAGTCCTCCTCCTGAGTCCTCCTCCTCATCCTTCTCATCAGTCCTCCTCCTCCCCAGTCCTCTCCCAGTCCCCCTCCTTTCCTCCTCCCTATTCAGTCCTCCTCCTCCTCCTCCTCCTCCTCAGTTCTCCTCAGTCCTCCTCCTCAGTACTCCTCAGTCCTCCTCCTTCTCAGTCATCGTCAGTCCTCCCTCTCAGTCCTCTCAGTCTCCTCCTCCTCCTGGGTCCACCTCCTCCTCCTGGGTCCTCTGGGTCTTCCTGATCTTCCCCAGTCTCTTCTCCTCCCCTCTCAGTCCTCATCCTACTCCTCCTCATCGTCCTCAGTCCTCCTCATCAGTCCTCAACAGTTCTCATCCTCCTGGGGCCTTTTCCTGGGTCCTCCTCCTCCTGGGTCCTCCTCCCTCTGGGTCCTCCTTCTCCTCCTCTGTCCTTCTCCCTCCTCCTCCTCAGTCCTCTTCCCCCTCTTCCTCTCCTCCTCCCTCTCAGTCATCCTCCCTCAGCCATCTCCTCAGCCATCCTCCTCAGTCCTCCTCCTTCTCAGTTCCTCCCTCTGAGTCCTCCTCCCTCCTCTAGATCATCCTCCTCAGTTCTCCTCCTCCTCCTCATAGGTCCTCCTTCTGGGTCCTCCTCCTCCAGGGTCTTCCTGATCTTCTCCTCCCTCTCAGTCATCCTCCTCAGTCATCCTCCTCAGTGATCAGTCATCCTCCTCAGCCATCCTTCTCAGCCATCCTCCTCAGTACTCTTCAGTACTCTTCAGTACTCTTCAGTCCTCAAAATTTTTGTCCGCTAATGTCCACCCAATGTCCATCCAAGTCCGCCACTGTCCGTCCGGGACCGCAATGTCCGTACGGGTCCGCCAATGTCCGTCCGAGTCCGCCAATGTCGTCCGAGTCCGCCAATGTCCGTCCGAGTCCGCCAATGTCCGTCCGTGTCCGCAAGGTCCAAAAAAACACGTCCCGTTGTCTCATAGAATCCAAAAAGGACAGGACATAGGCGGACATAGACGGACATGACACCCCCCCCCCCCTTATACCCCAATTATACCCACCTATACTCAAGTAACCTCACTTAACCTCACTTATACCTCAAGTAACACCACTTAATCTCACGAAACCTCACTTATACCTCATTTATACCTCACTTATACCTCACTTATACCTCACTTATACCTCACTTATACCTCAAGTAACCTCACCTATCCTCACTAAACCTCGCTTAATCTCGCGAAACCTCACTTGACATAATAAACCACAATTAACAATATTATTTTACCTCGTTAAACCTCACCAATACGCACTGATCTTACCATCCTTATTATTATAAAATAACTCTAACTTGAGGGAATGTTCTCAGATCTCTGTAACATTGGACGACACACTGAAAATAGAAGCAGAAGATATTACAGCTAGTACCGATCTGGAGGGATTACTACTGACTAAGAAACTGAAGATAGGGTCCTAACCCCCTCTATTACAAGTTAGTACTACTTAAGATGGGTCTTTACCCTCTCCATTTCAAGTTAACTACTTTTTAGGGTCCTAACCTTTTTCCATTACAAGTTAGTCTATTTGATAGGGTCTCTAAACCCCCTCCATTTTCAAGTTAGTATACTTAAAAAGGGGCTTAACCCCTCCATTATCAAGTTTGTATACTTAAGAAGGGTCTCAACCTTCTATAATCAAGTTAGTATACTTAAGATAGGGGTCTCTTACCCCCTCCATTATCAATTAGTTTTCTTAAGTGGGTCTCTAACCCTTTTCCATTTCAATTTGTACTACTTAAAATGGGGGCTTAACCCCCCCCATTTTCAAATTGTACACTTAAAATGGGTCTCTTCCCCTCCATTTCAAATTTGTATACTTAAGTAGGGGTCTCTAACCCCTCCATTTTTCAATTAGTACTACTTTAAAATAGGGTTCTTACCCCTCCATTATCAAGTTAGTACTACTTTGATAGGGGCTCTTTCCCTCTCCTTTCAAGTTGTTACACTTTAAAATTGGGTTTCTTACCCCTCCATTATCAAGTTTGTTTCATTAAGAAGGGTCTCTTCCCCTCCCTTATCAAGTTAGTACTATTAAGATGGGGCTCTTACCCCCTCCATTTTCAAATTAGTCTCTTAAGTAGGGTTCTAACCCTCCCTTTTCAAGTTAGTACTACTTAAAATGGGTTCTAACCTCTCCATTATCAATTGTAACTTAAGATAGGGTCTTTACCCCCTCCTTTTCAAATTATATCTTAAGTAGGGCTCTTACCCTCTCCATTATCAAGTTAGTGTGTTATTGTAACCCGCTCTCAGTTACCACCTTATTTTCATAATGTACGTGTTATTTGTAACTACGGCTTCTCAGGTGAACACCTATTTTAATAATGTACTGTGTTATTGTGAACTACTCTCTCAGGGTACCCGCCTATTTTAATAATGTTACTGTGTTATTGTTACTACGCTCTCAGGGTAAACCCGCTTATTTAAATAATGTACTGTGGTTTATATGTAACTACGCTCTCAGGGTACCCACCTATTTTAATAATGTACTGTGTTATTGTAACTACGGCTCTCAGGGTCTTCCAACCTTTATTTAATAATGTTCTATGTTATTTGTAACTACGCTCTCAGGGTACCCACCTTATTTTTAATAATGTACTGTGGTTATTGGTAACTAGGCTCTCAGGGTCCCCACCTTATTTTAATAATGTACTATGTTATTGTAACTACGCTCTCAGGGTGTCGCCCACCTTAATTTTAATGAATGTACTATGTTATTGTAACTACGCTCTCAGGGGTACCCACCTTAATTTTAATATGTACTGTTTTATTGTAACTACGCTCTCAGGTACCCACCTTATTTTAATAATGTACTTGCTATTGTAACTACGCTCTCAGGGTACCCGCCTTAAAATTTAATTAATGTAACTGTGTTTGTCACTACGCTTCTCGGTACCCAACCTAATTTAATAAAGTCTGTGCAATTTAAATACGCTCTCAGGTACCCGCCTTATTTTAATAATGTACTAGGTTATTGTTACTACGCTCTCAGGGTACCGCGCCTTATTTTAATAATGTACTGTGTTATTTGTAACTACGCTCTCTGGGTGATCACCTTATTTTAATAATGTACTATGTTATTGGTAACTACGCTCTCAGGGTGGATCACCTATTTTAACAATGTACTGTGTTATTGTAACTACGCTCTCAGGAGTGATCACCGATTTAAATAATGTACTATGTTATTGTAACTACGGCTCTCAGGGTACCCGCCTTATTTTAATAATGTACTGTGTTTATTGTAACTACGCTCTCAGGTACCCCACCTTATTTTAATAATGTACTGTGTTATTGTAACCTACGCTCTCAGTGATCACCTTATTTTAATAATGTACTGTGTTATCGTAACGGACGCTCCTCAGGGGATCACCTATTTTAATAAGTACTGTGTTAATGTAACTACGCTCTCAGGGTACCCCGCCTTATTTTAATAAGTACTGTGTTATAGTAACTACGCTCCAGGTGATCACCTTATTTTAATAATGTACTATGTTAATGTAACTCTACCACTCAGGGTACCCACTTATTTTAATAATGTACTGTGTTATTGGTCACTACGCGCTCAGTACCCACCTTATTTTAATATGGTACTATGTTTATTGTAACTACGCTCTCAGGGGATCACCTTATTTTAATATGTACTATGTTATTGTAACTACGCTCTAGGGTGATCACCTTTTTTAATAATGTACTGTGTTATTGTAACTACGCTCTCAGGGTGATCACCTTAATTTTAATAATGTACTTGTTATATGTAACTACGCTCTCAGGTGATCACCTATTTTAATATGTACTGTGTTATTGTAACTACGCTCATCTGGGTGATCCACCTATTTTAATAATGTACTATGTTTTATTGTAACTACGCTCTCAGGGTGATCCACCTTATTTTTAATAATGTACTGTGTTTATTGTAATACGCTCTCAGGGTACCCCCGCCTTATTGTTAATAATGTACTGTGTTATGTAAATACGCCCTCAGGTGGATCACCTCTTTTAAATAATGGACTATGTTATTGTAACTACGCCTCAGGGTGATCACCTTATTTAATAATTACTGTGTTATGTCACTAACGGCTCTCAGGGGTACCCGCCTTCTTTAATAATGTACTGTGTTATTGTAACTACGCTCTCATTCCCAGGGTACCCACCTTATTTAATAATTAACTGTGTAATTGTAACTGAAGCTCTCAGGGTGATCACCTTATTTTAAATAATGTACTGTGTTAGTGTAACAACGCTCTCAGGGTGATCACCTTATTTTAAATATGTACTAGGTTATTGTAACTGACGCTCTCAGGGTGATCACCTATTTTAAATAATTACTGTGTTATGTAACTCCGCTCTCAGGGTACCCACCTATTTTACAGTAATGTACTGTGTTATTGTAACTACGCTCTCAGGTGAACACCTTATTTAATAATGTAACTGTGTTAATGTAACTACGCTCTCAGGTACCCACCTTATTTTAATAATGTACTTGTTATTGTAACTACGCTCTCAGGGTGAACACCTTATTAATAATGTACTGTGTTTCTTGTAACTAACTACGCTCTCAGGGTACCCACCTTATTTTAATAATGTACTGTGTTATTGTAACTACGCCGTCAGGGTAACCTCGCCTTATTTAATAATGTACTGGATGTTATTGTAACTACGCTCTCAGGGTACCCACCTTATTTTAATAATGACGTTTTATTGTAACTACGCTCTCAAGGGTACCCCACCTTATTTTAATAATTACTGTGTTTATTGTAACTACGCTCTCAGGTCACCCGCCTTATTTTAATATGTACTGTGTTATAGTAACTACGCTCTCAGGGTAACCCACCTATTTAAATAATGTACTGTGTTATTGTAACTACGCTCTCAGGGTACCCGCCTTTTTTAATAATGTTCTGTGTTATTGTACTACGCCTCTCAGGGTACCCACCTTATTTTAATAATGAAACCGTGTTATGTTGTAACTACGCTCTCAGGGTACCCACCTTATATTAATAATGTACTATGTTATTGTACTAACGCTCTCAGGTACCCACCTTATTTTAATAATGTGCTGTTTATTGTAACTACGCTCTCAGGTACCCACCTATTTTAATAATGACTGTGTTATTGTAATTCTACGCTCTCAGGGTATCCACCTATTTAATAATGACTGTGTTATTGTAACTACGCGTCAGGGTACCCGCCTTATTTTAATAATGGACTGTGTTATTGTAACTACGCTTCTCAGGGTCCCACCTTATTTAATAATGTACTGTTTATTGTAACTACGCTCTCAGGGTACCCACCTTATTTTAATAATGTACTGTGTTATTGTAACTACGCTCTCAGGGTACCACCTTATTTTATAATAATGTAACTGTGTTTATGTAACTACGCCTCAGGTACCCACCTTATTTTAATAATGTAACTATGTTATTGTAACTACGCGCTCAGGGAACCCACCTTATTTTAATCAAGTACTGTGTTATTGTAACTACGCCTCAGGGTACCCACCTATTTTTAATAATGTACTGTGTTATTGTAACTACGCCTCAGGGTACCCACCGTTAATTTAATAATGTACTGTGTATTGTAACAACGCTCTCAGGGTACCCCAACGGGGGGGGGGGGGGGGTGGGGGGGGGATTTAATAATGTACTGTGTTATTGTAACTACGCCTCTCAGGGTACCCACCTATTTTAATAAGTACTGTGTAATTGTAACTACGCGCTCTCAGGGTACCCACCTTATTTTAATAATGTACTGTGGTAATTTAACTACGCTCTCAGGGTACACCACCTTATTTTAATTATGTACTGTGTTTTGTAAACTACGCTCTCAGGTACCCCACCTATTTAAATAATGTACCTGGGTTATAGTAAACTACGCTCTCAGGGTACCCACCTTATATTTAATAATGTACTGTGTTATTGTAACTACGCTCTCAGGGTCCCCACCTTATTTTTAATAATGGTACTATGTTATTGTAACTACGCACTCAGGGTACCCACCTTATTTTATAATGTAACTACTGTTTATGGTAACTACGCTCGCAGGGACCCACCTTATTTTAAATAATGTACATTCTGTTATTGTAACTACGCGCTCAGGGTACCCCACCGTATTTCTAATAATGTACTGGTGGTTTTGTAACTACGCTCTCAGGTAGCCCCCGCCTTATTTTAATAATGTACTGTGTTATTGTAACTCTACGCTCTCAGGGGTACCCACCTTATTGTAATAAGACTATGTTATTGTAACTACGCTCTCAGGTTACCCACCTTTATTCAAAAAATGTACTGTGTTTTATTGTAACTACGCTCTCAGGGTCCCACTCTTATTTTGAAAGTACTGTGTTTTATTGTAACTACGCACTCAGGGTACCCGCCTTATTTTAAGAATGTACATG